ATCAATATGTCAATCGGATGGCACTAGCATATCAAACGATGCTGTTTCAAATTACACTATTGCTGGAATGCTGTGAGAAAACGCAAGGATCAATTACAAATTTATTAATTGATCTCAATCACGGTCGGGTTAACCCTTAATTGTTAAAACCATCGCAAATAAAAAAGGAAATTGCACTAATTAAAGACCTACACCTACCTGGATCAGGAACTGGAACAGAAATAAGAGAAATATACAATTTAATGACAGCCCAACCGATAGTTATGGATGAGAAATACCGTTGTTCGTGAAGGAAGCATCAATACCATTCGGAAGTTATGGCAAAACAATCGTTCCTCAGTTAAAGGCTGACTTGTTAATATACAACTTTAACATAGACTCTTACGCTTTGAAAACAAATACCCAATTAAACGCCTGCTCTCGTCAAAGTAATCAGAATTTTCTTTGTCGAGGAAACTGGGTCAGGAAATCAGCCAAAGTCGGAACCCAATATGTGAATTCCAGGAGAGTCGTGCCGAGAACATAAGGGTAGAATTGTCAACTTTAAATTCTTAGCTGTATAAAGTTTTCAACGACCCGGTGTTGGAATGGACATGTGGAAACCATCGAAGTCTGGTTGCGCAAATTCAAACCCAAGAAGTACTGAGACTGCGCAACGGATGTTTAGCCCGCAATGGACAACACCTTTTAACAGCTGCGCACGAAATAATCACAGAAGACAATATAACGGAGTCGGTAGCACCACTGATTACAGTAGCGTTTAATATTAAGAAAGAAAAAAAACCAATGGCATCAAGGCTTATAAATAATACATATGATACATATGATTAATATCCATACTGCTAGTGGGCATTGGGGTCTAGTAGTTATAATTATAACAATAATCGTAATAAGTTTAATTTATGTTAGACTTACTTGTAAGAATGATAAGAAATAAATTTATATGGAATTCGGGCTACCAATGAATACATTAAATTCACATAAATAAAGGCATAAGGCCCCCGCAGAATGTTCACGTTTGAACATGGATAATTAGGTTGCTGGTTGCAACACCACTTCAGATAACACTGGTGACCTAAGAAGTATGTTTCCCCTTCCCACATAAATTGGATGGGATAACCCAAAGAATTGACATTTATGACATACACTTGTCCCCAAAATAGAGTAAACATATAAAATCCTAGAATTAACCCCTAGAATTGGATATACATAAGAACACTGTAACTAGTACGTAAGTGGAAAAGGGTATAAAAGACGCGATGAGCGCCAAATAAAGATCAGTTCCTAACGAAATACTGTTGTGTTTTAGTCAGGGATTCGGCGGTTAGCGGTATAAGTTGCTTTTGTACTGAGCGGTTTTAGCTGCCCCCAAGACACGCGATATACGCTGCACATGAAATCATCTGCGATGCAATAGGGTGTTATTCAGCATAGATTTTTAGTAGCTCAGAGAACCAAGCGCGGGCGCCCCTCTGACGCTGCCAATCACACTGCCTCACCAAAGCTTATCGCGGCAATGAATAGCCGTTTCGATGAACAAGCCCAGCTGATCAGTCTACCATCCGTGAGGTCGAGAAGAGGATGCTTGAGGTGTTGCTGGAACGGCTATCACCACGGAGATGAAGCAGATGGCCGCTCGCATGTTGCAGCTGGAGCAGGAGGTTGAGGAACTGCGCTCCCTAAAATCCCAAATTGGCACGGTGCAAGGAACGCTTGACGCACAGCGTGCCGAAAGCGAGGCGTGCGCAGTGCGTATGCATGGCGTTCCTTTTGTGGAAAGAGGGAAACTAAGGCCGCTGTTTAAAAGCTCTGCGACAAACCTCGTTCCGGCGCCGAGGGTCCGAAAATCGCAAAATTCTCTGGTTGACCAGCAAATTCTGATAAAATTGAAAACTAGGAGGGAAAAAGTCTTCGCGCACTGGCTGATTTCCGACGAACAACAAAACAGCCACTGACCATACATTTGTTGGGCTTTGACTCGCTGGCCGCTCTCCACGTTAATGAGCAGCTCACGAGAGATAATTTCCTTATATTTAAAGAAGCCATGCTTTTAAGAAGCAGAAATCTCTTGCTGCTGTTTTTACGCACCGTGGTATTGTATCCCTCGTGCTGCCCAAAATAGCTTTCGTCAATAACATCTCCTATGCAGCTGACCTCTTTATTTCTATAGTTTTTAAGAGTAATTTAGGTTTTCTATTGGTAATCTCTTTTCGTTCAAATCTAGCTTGTGCCTTCTCAATTCATATGTGCGTTTCCAAATTTACATTATACCCCACTATTAATGCAGGTCAATACAAATAATGCAACAGCGAGCAGTCTGCTGAGAATTCTGTGTAAACAGAAAGTTGGTATGACGATGGTCCACATAAATGCTCAAAGCTTGGTCTGAGAAATGGATAAGTTTGAGGAACTATTTGTAGGATAAAATGTTGATGTAGTATTTGTTTCAGAAACCTGGTTTGTAAGTGGCTACAGTGACGTCCCTTTTAATGTGATGTTGCATAGGTCCGATAGATTAAAACACGCAGGTAGTGTAGCGATTTTTGTAAGCAACAAATACATTTCGATGCTTATTAAATCAAACCCGATCGAAGGTCCAGTGAAATATTTGTTTGTAGAAGTCGTAGATCCTAATTTTATGTCAAAAATGTTAATCTGATGTATTTATAGACCCCATCGAATGACCGAATATACTGATCTCTTAGAGTCCGTATCAGACATATTTGTGGCGTACAAAAACGTAATCCTGGCTGGAGATACTAACAGCGACATGATCAGAGAATAAAGTGTGCAAAATGAATTTAACTCTCTTGGCCTAAACTTGGTAAACTGCCAACTACCTACGCATTTCACAAGTACCCGTAGCTCTTTGTTAGATGTTTTCTTTCTTAGTGAACCGTTAAAAATCATTTATGACTTGACTTCGCCACAGGAACAACTTCTAATATTTAACTCCAACATTTGACGATTATTTGAACACTGTGTTCCATTAAGAACAAAAACCTGCTGTACAGCCATGGTTTAATTTTGAAATTAAAAAACAAATTCGTCTGCGGGATAATGCCTACAAACACTGAAAAAGGTATAAAAATGAAAGCCTGTACAGCATTTTTTAACCAACTTAGAGACTTAGTCACAATTTCGATCTCTTCTTACAAACGCAGATTTTATAATAATAAATTTGCCAACGCAGAGACTCCTGGTCAAGTTTGGAAGGATTTGAGAAGCCTAGGCATAGGAAAACAAAATGGCTAAGTCGGACCTTGATGTAGACGCCCTCAATTTTCAGAGGTTCCTTCCGTCATTCCTACACATAATTTTTACCTAACCTCAACAACATCCAATGATATTATTTTCAGCTTTATGTGTGTACGTCCATGTGATGTCCTTCAATGTATACTTAAATTAAAATCAAATGCAGAAGGTCTAGATATTGTTAGCCCCAAATTTATAAAAATTTTGCTCCCAAAACTAATTTGTTATATTACCAATATTTTTAATACCTGGAGGAACCTGGAGAACAATAATCTTCCAAGTTGTAAGCAATCAAGTTTTAAAAAGCACAGAAGTTGTACAACTGCCATTTTAAAGATATCCGAAGACATTCCTTAAAAAAATCGATGACACTTCTTGACTGTAGCAAACCATTTGACTCGATAAACCACGAAATACTCTGCACAAAGAATCGCACACTGTACAATTTCTCTTCAAGTGCAATAAACCTTATCCGAACATATCTCACAAACAGGGTGCAGGCCGTAGTCTCCGGGTCGCCAAAACCTTCATTTCTGCCTCTCTCACAAGGAGTCCCACAAGGCTAATTTTTAGGTCCACTGCTTTTCTCGTTATATGTAAATGATCTCCCTTAATGTATTTCTGTATGTGATGTGCACCTATATGCAGATGATGTCCAGTTATATGTTAGCCGTCCCCTAAGTCAAATTAGTGAGTGTATTAGAATTAGCAACAATGAAATTAAACAAATAAATGATAGGGCTGATGCCAGCCACAAATCTGGGAATAGAATTTGTTTCCACCTTAACGTGGGATGACCATGTGAACAAAGTCACAGGAAAAGCATATGGCGTGCTCAGGCAGCTATCCTTATCCAGAAACCGTATTCCACAGAATATCCTGATGCTTGTAGCGAAAACCTGCATAAGTTGCCTTCAACTCAATTGCGCGATATGTTTTTAATTTAAACCGCAGGGAGCACATAAAATGCTACTCAAATAAGATTTTTGAACTAAGCTTTGAGTTATGAATTAAGTTAAAAACTCTCTTATTTCTGCATAAACTCCTGACTAAAAAAGAGCCGCAGTACTTAATTGAACATGTGCAACTGGCTTCGTCAGCTTGAACAAACAACATTGTCTGCAAAAGATTAAATTTGGCGATGACGGAAAAACAACTTTTCATACAGGCTGTTCGCTGTTAGAATAACCTCCCAAACAATATAAAAGTATATGAAACGAAACGCATTTTAAAATCGAACCTATAAACTATTAATTTATTCTTATTCTTATTTTAATTTTAATTTATTATTTTAATGTTAATCTCATTTTGTTTCAAATTCAATTCATTTCTTTATGTTACCAAAACCTATTAAATGTATGAATCTGTGAATGTTAAAATGTGTATTGTTATTGTAACGTAATGTAATGTAATTGTACTTCTAGTATTTAAGTTTTATTGTACGAGTCACAAAGTATTTTAGTTTTAATGTAACAATCACAAAGTGCCCGATGAATCTAAAAAGACTTAGTCTGATATCGTCGGGATACCAAAACAAATAAATTAAACGGATGGTCAAAAACGGAGCTGGGGCTGTCCCATACGTGATAGTGTTAAGACGGTATGTTTTGAGAAATTGGGTCGATATCTCCCTGCACAAGATGTGTTGAAATTCAGATGTCTTTCGGCAAGGTTCACTTGCCGATACATCTTGAAAATGTCAGCCGTTAAGGCATTTTTTTATTTTTGTTTTTCTTATTTAATTTTTCATTTACTAGACATTTATTCTCGTTATGTTGGTGAGGGAATGCTTTGCTTAGTTCCGCCGCTTTAATCGCAGTTTATTGACGCATATTATATATAAAATATATTAAATAACCTCAAGGTTATTAATTAATCCAGTCATGAAGCAATGGACCTCACATTTTGCCGCTGCTGTTGAGCTTTTTGTTAAATTTATATAAAACTTAAACAAAATTTGTTTATTTACTAACCTAATGAGTGATATCCAAGCCTTTTGTTTCACAGGTAAGTTTATTTCATCAGAAAATAGATTGCAGAGTATGTTTTTTTCATTTAAAGTATCTTTTGAATGCCCATTTAAAGATTCTACGGAGATGAGAAGAAATTTTGACTGGTCGGTTATCTAAAACGATTTATAAAAAAATAAAAGATGCTGCAATTAATAAACGAATTAATGATTGCTGTATTAAACACAAATAAAGACTTTGTTGATGCAGCTTAAGGGCACAAAAACTTGGCCACTATGGAATTAAAACCTAAAAAGTTTCGAAAATATATTCAAAACAAATACCTTATGTGGTTCACTGCTCCATGCCCTCTTAAGCTAAGAATATGCAATTTATAACATTTAGGACTCACCTTATGCAATTCGGGCAACTTTTCTATCGTTTTGTACCAAAGCAGGGTAAAAATAATTCAGGAGTTAGTTCTGCTGACTATTTAAAAAATATATGTTACGTACCTGGTTTTTTAATGGGGCAAGGTTAGCTAGCCAGTCCATCCCAGCTGATCAGCCATCACGGCTTAACAAAATCAAATCAAATGAAAGATAAACGAATAAGCGGACGACTATGATTTTACTCTATCTATATTACTCTATCTATTGCAATTTAAATAGAACACTCCGACGAACCAAACCTACCTGAGGTTGTAGGATGTTAGCTTCCGTCAGCCTACCCCAGGTTCATGTTGTTGTTGTCCTCTCCTCACAGACAAGCACTTAGCACATCATTCTGACACGTTACAAGATTTGTTTTTTATATAAGACATTTTTATATATCTTCCTTCCCTTCATTGATTAACTAAGCTAATTAATTTTAGATTATTTGTTTCCCCTTGAAAATACTTGCGAATATTTCCTTATACATTATATATGTATCAATTAATAACTTTATTTATTTCAGTCTCTAGGAATTGCCCAATTACGGTTATTGGGGTGATGGTGGCTTCTTTTGACTGAATCAGTAGATTGAACCGATTCCCGATAAAAAATAATAATATTAAGAATATTTTGGGTTTTTTGCGCGACGTACGGGTGTTTACTTACAATTATAAATTGCAACTAACATAAGCTTATCTTGAGCGCTCCAGAGCGGAACTTAGACTTGGGATGAGTGTTGGAGCAGGAGAGCGTAGGGACAGCAGATGGAGACCTGACGCTCTACACTGACAGAAAATACAACGCCTACTTAACGTTTAAGTATTTTTTCTCAAAATTAGTAAAAATATCCTTATTGTGAGTTCTTGGGCAAAATCTGTACTCAATATGAGTGTATTCTCAATTTGAGAATTCAAATACTCAATTTCTGAACGTCAGAATTTCCTCTGTGTAAATGTATAAAAACCTTGAAGCTATGATGTTATGAAACTCAATTATTCGATAGTTCCTAAGGCAGCTATATAAGATCGTTTTCCGATTTAAATAAAATTAAAAGCGTTCTTAACTGTCAAATTATTAAGTCAAAAAGAATTTAAAAAAAAATACAAAATAAAAGGCACATACAATTTTTTTTTTTTTTGTTCTCGTTGGGGCTTTATATTATAGTCGTCTGATTTGTTAATTTAAACCGTAATTCTAATGTCAAAGAACTAAGAAAAAAATTAAGAAATCTATAGACTTATAATTTTTTAAAATTTATTTTTCCGATTGTTCCAATTGGAACTATATGCTATAGTCGTCCGATCCGGCTCGTTCCGACTTGTATACTACCTGCAATAGAAAGACAACATTTGGAAAAGTTTCATGCAGATAGCTTTAAAACTAAGAGACTAGTTTGCGTCAAAACGGGCGGACAGACGGACAGACGGATGGACGTACTGACAGAGAGACGGACAGACATACGGGCGGATCGACACTCCTAGTGATGCTGATTAAGTATTTATACTTTTTAGGGTGTCTCCTTCATTTCAATGCAAACTTCTGACTGTAATTATACTACCTTCTGCGAGGGTATAATAAGTACTGAACTTTTTTTTTTCTTGAAAAATCAATGTAATAATATTAGGGTACTATGACCATTGTTCAATCAAAAACTCGTGCTATCGAACATGTTCTTGAATGCTGGCCTCTCCTTGTAGTTACCAGTAAAAGCCTTGACATGGGTTTTTGCCATCTCGTTTTGCACTATTTTTGCTGTCGAGTTTTTTGCTCAGCCTAACGTGTATTGAGTTTTTGTTGTTGTTGTTGTGGAAAACGATCCAGATCGGTTCCCAACCATGATGCAATAGATGCGACTACGTCAGATTGTCAGATTGTCTTCTGTTGTTTGCTATCACCCTCGCTCTCCATTGATGTTTCACGAGCGCGCTTTAGCGTGAGAAGTAATGTGATTGCTTCCAAGTACTTAACCTCGTACCTCTCGTTGTCGATATCTGGATCAACATACCCCTCCTCCTCGTCGTAAAGGGCAAATTTGTCGCTGACGGTCTCAAATCCCTACCAAACTGAATTGAGTCTGTTCAATAACACGGGTATTTCGTCTAGTTCCCAGATTGATGTTGTTAGCAAGCGCGTGAGGCTTGTTTTCACACGGCTCCTTACTGCCTTCAGTAGTTTTAATTGAGCTAATATAAACAACTGTAAGCGAACGTAATGAAAATCAGTGTTTAAAAAACTGCAGTAAGTTTCATTTCGTGTGATTTTGCTTTTGCTTCTGCTTCCGGAATAAACAGAAGTCGCTGTCGAAGCAAAAGCAAAAATGAAAAAGCGACCAAAATCAAACAGCAGCAACAGTCGCTGATTTTCGTTTTTTTGCTTTCCGTTTTGCTGTTGCTTTCCATCGTGAGCGTAAGTCGAAGCGGCAGCAATTGTCGACTTCCAGAAGTCGTCGGCAGTCGCAGTCGCGAAAATCGATGAGCTCGATTTATGGTTGCTTTTGATTTTTGTCGCAGTTGCTTTCGATCGTAAGCATAAGATGCTGGCAGCAGCAAGTGCGACATATGGAAGTCAACAGCAGTCGCAGTCGCAAAAAACTAGACATTGCGTTTCTTCTTCTTTTTGTACTTCTTGCACTTATTATTATTAATTTTAAATTGTTTTTCATTATTAAAAAAAAATATAAAGGAAATCATAATTTAAATTACTAACAGTTTTCGAAAGTCATTTGGTTTCGGATAACATTTATTTCTTATATTGGAGCTGTTAGAGCCGGTGGACTTTTATGACATTACTATATTCTAGCGTTAAATACGCGCCCAACGTCACCCCAATCATCTCAATCCGATACACCATTTAATAGATATTCAATAAACCAGATTCATACATCATCTTTGAAATTAAAACATTTGTCCTTTTGTTGGTTTGTTTGTACGTATCAAAGTTTTAGGATCCTGAAACTGTTTTAAGCAGCTTGAGCTGAAAATGTTTTGTTCTACCACTTTTTGGAAAACCCGACTTTACGAGTAACTGGTATAATAAAAACGTAGAAGAACAAGACATAGCCGTTTGCAGTGACATTGTAAAAATGCATTAACACGGAGGTTTTGAACTTCGCAGTTTAGTAAGAGAGACGATAAACGGTACGCCAGTTGGACTAAACATGCTAAAGCTAGACGGACAAAATTATAATTATAAGACACTTGGCACCTATTGAAGCACAAAAATGATTATTTCCAACTTAAAACAAACTATATCACGTTTCTTTTTACCAATTTCGAAAGCAATAATCTTATCTTTCTTAGAACGAAATTAGTTTTAATGAGTTAACCCACTGCGAGTGACAAGCATAGCTTGGTGTCGTAAGGGCCACTGACCATAGTGCATCAACGTCCAAAAAAAATATGATTATAACAAAACCCGTCGAACCTTTTCAAGACAAAATTTAAATAAAGAGCATTCTTTACTGCCAGGAAGTTAAAATGTACTTGACTTTTCAAGGGGTTCTTCTTTTTTAAGGCTTATCAGAGTCGATTTTGCTCAGAAAATTTCTACCTTGGCAGAAAACCGACTATTGATGAATACAAGTTCCGTTTACAAACTTCCGCCTCACATGGAATCGGATGTATTATTTCGCACATCAGGAAAAATTTATTATTCGATTTGCCTACACCTCAGTGCACTACGCCCAAGATTATGTACTACCGAGGAACAATTCATTTTTATTTTCACATCAAATATTTACATTAAAATGTATCTGTCATAGTTAATGAGTGTCGACAAAACTCCTACACAAGCGAAAATGCAATGTTAGTCAAGACAACTAGCTCTTTCATGGAACCCAGCATTTTAGAACACGTTATTGAGAATTTAACGGACCGCTTTAGCCAGAAATATAATTGTTTAATATATAGTACACGTGCTCGCAAGCAAGCTAAATCAGACCTTTTGGCCAATCATAGCAAAAATTCAGCAAATGGTTAATAGCAAGGAGATCAAATTATTCCGAAAGGAAAACCTTTAAAAAACATCACACCTTTTATAACAAAATCCGACTAGGCAATGCAATCCTGATCGTGATCAGAGTAGGGGAAAAAGTAAGTAATTCCGTTCTTCCATTTTACAAAATTCTATGCTGAGTTTATACATCAGTTCAATTTGCTCGCAGGAGTGGAAGTCATCTTTACAACGGGACGAATTGTGGTTCATCAACGGACGAGAGTTTATGCTTCTGCAGCTTCTACTACAAGCTTCTCTTCGTGTCCCAACTCATAGGAATTCTCCAACCAGATCGTCTCCATGGTGAACGCCCATTATTTTTAACAGGAGTGGATTTTTGCGGGGCGGTCATGAGCTCATACAGTATAATACTTATGCGTAAATCTTCGTTTGCTTCGCCTTAGAATTAGTTTTCGATCTAACAAATAATGCTTTCCTATACCGTTCTACTTGATTTCGTCCGATTTTGGCGTCTTTTGTTGGAGTAAGTCAAATCGGCAAAACGCTGCTGCTTAAAACCGCCGGTGAAGCAGATCATACTTAGGAAGCGCCCCGGACCGCCCTCACAGAAGTTAATGCAATTGTGAATTCCCGCCCGATGGCACGAGTCTCAGACGATCCTAACGGCAGAGCAGCATGATCGCCAGCCCACTTTTTGATTGGGACACCCTTACTCTTTGCGCCAGCCGAAACTAATTCAATGGAGTTTTAATCTGCTCTATAGATCTTATTTTGTAATGATAATAATAAGTAGCTTATAGATCAATTCAAATCGACCATTCCTAAAAGTTCTGATGACCTATGCGCAATCAGTTACCGTATAAGCTAACATTTAAGGAAACATTGAAAGATACATGATTTGGCTGGTTAATTTTGTTTTTATACCCTTGCAGAGGGAATTTAAATTTTAGTCAAAAGTTTACCAAGCAGTGAAGGAGACATTTCCCAACGTATAAACTGACTATATTCTTGATCAGCATCACTAGGAGAGTCGATCTAGCCTTGTCCGTCTGTCCGTCCGTCTGTCCGTCTGTCCGTCCGTTTCTACGCAAACTAGTCTCTCAGTTTTAAAGCTATCTGCATGAAAATGTCCCAAAAGTTGTCTTTCTATCGCTGGTAGTATATAAGTCGGAACGAGCCGGATCGGACAACAATAACATATAGCTCCCATAGGAACAATCGGAAAAATGAAGGAAAAAAATT